CAATTAAAAGGATCCCTCTGGAATGACCTACGATCTAAGCAAAAGCACTAGGTTTAGCATCATGTCTTCTTTCACCAAGAGCTTCCTCACCTTCTTGCCAGTGTTGGTCGTCATCGTCATTAACATCATTGTCAGCCCTTTGATATGATGATGAGAATCTTTGAGTAAAAAAGTGTGGTGGACTTACCTGCTCAAGCTCTGGTGCATCCTGGGCTTGAGAATTCTCAATTCTGATTGATGGAGCCCATCCACCAATCGGGGAAGAGCTGGGAGGAGCCAGCACTATCCCTTTCCTGAAGGGAGGGAGCGAGGAGCTCCCAGACCAAGTTCAGACCTGCAACCTACAGGTCCACTGGACTTTAGAGGGTGGAGCCCCCTCAGGGTATAAAAGGAGTGGCATGAGCTGCATGAGGGAATGCAGCAAGGGATGTTGGAGAGGGAAGAGCCTGAAGAGGGCCTCCACCAGGATCCCTTCTTTGCCCCAGCAGTGCGCAGATTGGCGCATGGGGCTCAGGCTCTGGGAGCTGCATCGAGACGCCTTGATCTTGCATCCCCAGCAGGGGGCTGGACGGAGCAGCGTGCAGACTGACACATGGAGAGCCAGCCCTGGGAGCATCTCAAGGCTGCTCAGGCCCCACCCGGTGTGCAGACCAGCACATGGAGAGCAAACTGTGGGAGCATCTCTAGGCTGCTCAGGCTAGCCCTGGCATAGGCCAGATAGCCGGGTCCCCACAGTGTGGCCCAGCCAAGGAAGTAAAAGAGCTCCAGAGCCTTTTAGAGCAAGGCCTGGGAAAGGGAAGGCCCAGGCATAAGGCTGGGCAAACCCAGTCAGCAGTGGCTGGATTTCCCCCGCTGAGAGCTGGAACAACCCTCAGTGCCCAAAGCAGGGCACAGGGCCAGGAGGGGAGGTCTTGGCGTGGGGCAGACAGCACCAGGGGGCCACTGACTGAGCAGAGGACTCTGAGGCCCAGTCGATGGCTCCTTGGAGAGGACTGTGAGTTGCTAGTGGAATTGGGTCCCACAGAGGAGGCATTCCTTAAATAAGTCCGTCCCGCCCCGGAGAGGGAAGCCCCGAGTGAAAGGTTCCCTCCCAGCTAGACCCATAGGAAGGGAGTTATCCCTTGCTAACTGGAATCAAGGGGTAGACTCACCTTATATCGTGTAAAGCTGTGTCTTATATATTGTAAGACTGTTATTATGATTGTGGATATGTTGTACAATATGTGATGGTATTGGTTTAGTTTTGTATAATTGGTTCCTCATTGGTGTGCTGTCTGTTCACACCTTTCCCCACCTCCTTCCTTTTTTCTATCCGGTTGTACTCTGCCAATGGTTCCTCTGGGTTCCCTGTCAACTACCTGTTGATCCTAACTTACCTGGTTTACCCATCTGGGTATCCAGAATGGAGCAGAATTAGGCACAGAAGCGTATCTATTAAACCAAGATTACTTTACTTATACTGTTGATGGACACAGCGTTGGCGAAGAGTTAACTTCAGTTACAGTTGCAAACCGAACGAGAGCTCTAGAAACCGAGGTGAGATGTCCGTGGACAATTCAACGAGCATGCAGGACACAGAGTACAACAATTCAATGAGCATGCAGGACACGGGGTACGTCAGGAAAGTCAATGACGGGGAGTCATTGGTGGTTGATCAGTCTGCCAAGTTCACTCCGAGATGGGCGCGGAGTTCTCCGACTTGGGCGGAAACTGCGCTAACTTTTATACAGCTAGCGAGCCAATTGCTAGTCGTCACGTAGGAATAATTTAAAACCGGCCAATAATCGTGTGCGTATTTGCATAAGGATGGCGGGAACTTTTCTGCATCGGGGTTCTTTACCGCAGCGGAAAATTCCACTGTGCCGAGGCACTTAACTACTGGGTTCTGACATGCTCCACTGTGGATAAACTTTGATTGAAGTAGAGATACATAGGCTGTCTTTCCCAAATTCCAGGTGAGTACCCAAATTACTAAGTTATGAAGTCCATTTCTGTCTGATCTAATGAAGATTTAACAGTTTTATACAAAGTGGAACACCTTGTATAGGAAATTGAAAGAGACTCCCTGGTGAATAATGGGCTCTTGGGTTTAATAGGGGTCACCTCTTTAGCAAAGTTAAGTATGCTCTTAGAACAATTGCTGAAATGCTTAGTTTGAGAATCTGGCTCGCTCGTTAGGGCACTGAACAGCAGCAGTTCTGTGTGTGGCCACAGATGGAAACCTATTTGTCTGGAGGATTTATCTATATAAATTTCTGTTTCTACAGGATTAAGTAGCAAGAGATGCTTGTGAGTGGCAGCAAAGGTTTTGTTAGACTTAGTGCTCTTTTAGGCACCTAGGGCATTTGTACACATGCTTGCACTGCATGCAGTTGTATAAGCAAAAAAATGCATGTCAGTGCTGAGAAAATGGTGGTGGCACGCTTTTGATCTAAAACAAATTGGAGGTGTTTTAGTTCAAAAGTGCACCGTTGCCATTTTCTGCATGCTGACACCCATTTCACTGCTTCTACAACTGTATGTGAAGCATCACAGTGCACATCAGCTTGTGTGCAGAGAAGACTAGATTAATCGAGTCTGCTTTGACCCGCTGGATCTCCAGTGCCTTGCAGGATGAAAAGGTATGTGCATAAGTACCTCTAGATCAGCAAATGTTCAACCATTATGCTTTTGGTTAGTTGTAGCAAGCTAAAATTTTGTGACTTCCCAACCAGTCCACTGTAGGTTAATAGGCTTTCAAAGCAATGAAAGCAGGAAACAAGGAACATTAAGAAATATTAACAGGGATGATGCATAGGGGGTGCATGTAGGTACACATGCACCCTCTGAGCGTGGCAGTGCACCCTCTGCAAAAAGGTGCTGCCGACACTGATGGCGCCTGAGGGCGGTTGCTGCTCACCACCCTGCCACCAACACCACCAGTGGCGTCTCCGGGTGGTCTGTGATCCCTGCTGGCTGCTGCTGATGCTGCAGGTGGTCGCCGACCCTTGGTTGGCGCTCGTCACCCCCATCCCCCACTGCCGACAGTGCCAGCAGCATCTGCATGAGCTCCCCTGCTTACCACTGCTGTGCTACTGCTGCTCCCATCAACGTGCTCCTGCCACCACCGGGCCCCGCCAGCTGCCGGGAGCACATGCCATTCATGAATATTAACTAACCTTCCTAATCCTGTCGATGTACTTAGGCCTTTGTATGGATACAGGAAGGAACAGTTGGCTCATTTCCTTTGAAACTGCAATAATCCACATCAGTTTGACTAATTCTACCTCTTGAACACCAAATTCCTGCACACAGGTTAATGATAAGTGAAGAAGCAGGAATAGAGCAAATGGGGATACTTTGTATTCAGGAGAGGTGCACACATCTTTTAGGGATTTTGGATGATTAAACCTGGTCCTAGAATTTGAGAAATCATGAATCTACTCCCATAGAAATCAATGGGAGTTTTGATGTCTGTCTCTATTGTGGGTAGAAACATAGATTTTAGAATCATAGAAAAGTAGGGCTGGAAGGGACCTCCAGAGGTCATCAAATTCAACCCCTTGCCTGAGGCACTCATCCCTCTCTAAACGATCCCATACAAATCCATTGTCCAACTGAGTAGACAAACTACAAAGTGAACCTGACATAACCACAAGACAGTACCATAACCTGCCACAGGTGAAGCAGGCAGACCATGAAGGCCAATGTCCTGCTACTGTGAAGGTGACTTCTCCTGGGACTTCAGATTTCTCCTGGGACAAAGCCTTTTATTCTAGGATCCTACAGATGTACAAGCCCATTGTCCCACTTAAAGTATCTGTGAAATATCCAAGATAACACTTTTTCCTCAGGACAATGCCTCCTAATTTAAGTTAATTGCCATTCATTCCAGGGACAAGCTGCATGTATACAGGGCTGTGCTGCTCCTAGGTTATAAGTTGACTCAGATCTGTCAGAACAGACTCATATGTCACATCTGTTTTTACCTTATGGTAGCAAGATCATTTCTGTGTGGGGATGTACCCTTATCTATAAAGAGAATCATCAGGGAAGGCAGGTTTTCAGATCATCGCTTCCAGTTAGCAAGGCATCTTGCAGAGCTTTTGAGATCAAATAGGTCAGGGGTGGGCAAAATATGGCCTGCAGGCCACATCTAGTTCACCAGGTGATTTAATTCGGCCCACAGGCACCCACCAATTAATTGTACCTTGCCCAGCCCATGTGCTTCACTCCCACCCACATGTCGGGGTGAGCCCCAGCCCCAGTCAGCATGTACAGCTTCTGGGCAGGGCCACTGCTGCCACAGCTGCAGCCACCAGAGGACCTGCTCAGTCCTGGACTCCAATAACTTTTCCTTGTGTCCCTCCTGCAGTGCTCACTCTGGGCAACAGGTAGGGAAGCTGCAGCTGGATGAGAGTATGGAGTGTGGGGCTGGGGCTGGGGCTAGCGCTGGCAGGAGTGCGGAGCCCGGGGCCCATGCCCAGTGGGGCAGAAGGAGCCTGGAGTTTGGGTGGGCAGGGCGTATCATTGTTTACGTCTCAATAAGGTCCTACACAATTGCAAAGTAAATAGGAAAAAGTTGCCAGCAAAGTAAAGGGCACCTCTGGTTTGAATTTTTTTTTTTTTACATAGATTTGTACCAGCTTAACTCAATCTATGTCTAGATGTATTTACATGGTGTACAAGTGACTTATGTTTATTTTACTTGATTTGGAAACTTACGGAATTAAACAACATTGGTACAAAACAGTTATAAATCTATTTGAGGAAGTCCACAGAAGGATTTGCAGGAGCTTAACTAAAATAGGTTTCAAAACAAATCTTGGTTAATTTTATCTGAGTTTTCTTTGCATTGACAATGTCTGAGCAGAGAATCCTTGTTTGGTATTACTACGTACTTGTGCTGCCCATGCACAAATGCAGAGCAGAGAAATTGCATTATGCACACCAAATGAACATGTATATACAACATATGTTGGCAGCTTGTACCCTCCAGAGAGCTTATTTACTAAGTTGGGAAGTGGAAGACAGGCCTTATATGTCATTAAAGTTAATATTAATGATGACATTAGGTATTTAAAGGTTTCTTTAAAAAGTAAAATATTAATGACAAACCTAAATAGAATGCATTTACATCCTTTGAAATTTGATTCAGGTTTTCCAACTTTATAGACAATGTTTTATTGTTTCAGGGAGCAATCACACAGCAAAGCCCTGATTCACGTTTTCATGCAGTAAAGAATGACAGAATGTCTTGCAAAATAAGGCTTCTGATCCTCTGCTGCTAAAACTCATGTGGCTATTTAGCACAGTAGGATTTAATTTTAAATAGAACATGGTAAGGAGATTATTTTCTCACTGGTACTGTCACAGATCCTTAATGGCAGCTCCTGTTGGCAAAAAAAGAGGGCAAAATGAATCTGACTGAATATCACAGCCTGTTTTAGCTGCTGTATTGATTTTCATATTATCAAATGTTGAAACAGCATCAGAGAGCCAAGAAAATGGTCCCTTTTGAATCTTACTCTGTATAGCTGTGCCTTGAGCCAGGTACTCATAACCATAGGTTTTCAGAATCTAGCTAGAAGGCATCAGATGTAAACAGATATATGATATAGAGGAATTTGGGTCCTTCTTATCTGTATCCAGCCTAATATTCCACTCCAAGTGCCTGTAGGAGTTGTCAAAGCTTGGTATTGTGGCCCTGAACTGCTTCTTCCTTGACCGGTTCTACAATCTTGGTACCTGGCTGTCATTTGTGCTTGAGTGAGTCCAAAATGGAAACACTAGGAGTAGGTTGATGCCTATAGTAGGTACTACACCTTGCCAAAACATGTGGTAAAAATTGTCTATGCTAGATGAGCCATCCATGTGCCTGGACCCATTTTTAGCATCCTACACAGTGAATGTTTTGCCCTGGGTAAATCATTCAGTGTATCCTCAATTTTTGGTGAGGGTTAGTGCTTTCAATGCTCTATTCTGCATTTTTTACTTATTTGGATCAGTACAGATCTTCAGTTTACCTAAAGATTTTTCTTACCAGTACTACATTGAAATTAGCATAAAGTGACTCAGTAGGTCTAAATGACACTGCTTCTTTGCAGTGGCTCCACCATGGCTAAGATTCTGAGTTTCAGTAGTCTCCTGGGCTCCTAATAATGCTCTCAGGAGAGCTATATCTAACTTCACGAGCATGTGAATCTCTTAATAGTCTGTTACAAGCCTTGACATTAACTGTTCTTCAATGTTCCCCATGATGGAGGGTAGTGTAGTGACCCCAGTTTGCTATGAACTCCAAGAGATAACATCTTTTTGTGTATTTGTCTGTTTGTTTTTATGTTACTAGTACTTGGTATTATTTGTACTGTCTCATATTGTTACTTATTGTTGCTGGGATTACATTGCAGTCAGCTTTACAGTCCAGCTGGAATGTAACTGTTGATTGATCTACTAGCATAGATGCTAATAAAACAAGTTTTTCGCTATATGCTTATTTTGAGAATCTTTGAGTTTGGTACAGTCACACTGCAGCTATTCATAGACAGTTTTGTTTCATGTGCTTTACCTTTGCATTATCACCTTTATCCCCTTACAGTCAGGTCACCTGTATATAAAATGCACTTCTTTCTTGTTCCATGTTTGGGCAATACTCCATCTGGAAATCCAGCGTTCCCAGTGGTCTAAGTTCCTCCATGCTTCCATCTGTTTGCTTGGCTTCTCAGTGCTGCTTTACTTGTTCACACTTTTTACTTTCTGTAGGTCTTGTTAGACTTGCTGCTGCCACCATATTTCATATACCTTATGCTGGGTAAAAACACGAAAGGGCAATTTGTAAACTAGGTTGGCTCTTTATTTATGAAATACTGCAACTGCAGCGAGTATTCACAACATGTCATATGCACACAGGCTAACCTGGTATCTCCTTCACACTTGTCTCTCTTCAGTCTGCTCACTTTGCTCCAAGTTCCTTCATGCTATTTCATACTTCTCAGCTCATTCAAGTACACAATTTGAAAAACTACTTTTACTTTTTCCTGATGCTACCTCTTTACCTTTTCTTTCTGAGGCGTAAGGATGGTTTTGACTTTCTCTAGAGTCCATTCCTGTAAAAGAATCTGTTAGAATCCAGGTTGACCCTAAAGCACATATGAGCTAATGCTGTTTTTTAAAAATAGATTCTGTCACATTCCTGAAGCCATGTGACTGGAAGTTGGTAAGGGCTTTAAAAATATTTCCTTAGTAGATACACTTAAGTCATTATAAAAATTCCTTGATATCACAATCTTCTTAGATTATGAGTCCATACCTCTTTAGATAAAATAACTCAGGAAAAAAATACCCAAGTACAGTGATCTCATTGAATGAAACTGTCTGAAGGTCAACCATATCCCTTAATTGGTTGACTGAGTTTTCTCTAGCTGTGCTGAAAACAATCTATGGAAAGAAATGCTGCAAGTATATTAAGACTTACAGCTGCGATTCTGTATCTGAGCTGCTTGTTTATTAATCTGATATATAGCATCCCAGTAGGTTAGGTACAAATGTTAAAAGTATTACCCACAAACAATATATATATAAACTAATAAACTATATTGAAAGGAATACATGCATACATGCAAACATATTAGGGTTTTTTTTTTAATTATGTGCAGCCTATTTGCTCTGTTTTGTTTAGAATCATTTTCAATAGAAAGCCAAACTCTGTTACGTATAGGTGTCACTTTCTCAGCTTTATTTCTCAGCCAGTAATTCATTAGGCCAACTCTCCCTTTGTGAACAGGAGCACTGACACCCTGCAGAACATCTCTATTTCATGTTCCTGTTATATAATACACACCAGTTTTTGCCACAGTTTGGGAGCAACTAGGCAGTGTGATTTGGCTTAGAAAGACTTCTTATACACAGGCACGTGCATTTATGTCTAGTATTCAATGCTGTAAGGCTGCCTGCGAATTGCTGTACCATGACAGAGAAAAGAAATCTGTTACAATGCTTTTGGTTTTACTACTGAGGCTATAGGAAAAAAACCCAGCTTATTTATGCATTCTTCGTAGTGCACATGCTGTCTCATTTCTTTATCTTTGAAGTCCTGATTTTACGGAAATGCTACCCTTTTTCAGTTTCTCAATCAATCAGTTTTGTTTTATAACTACAAAACTTATGTTCAAAGTGTCCTGCTGTACCAGGTAGAAGCTACTGTTCTAGTAAGGAAGAAACCGTCCAATAGAACAAGTGTTTGGGTTTGGATGCAAGAGAGATCAAATGAAAGTAAATGTGGTCAAAACTGTTCATATGCTCAAAGTGAAAGTTAATGATACTTGTGCTGAGTTTCTCAAACTCATTCAGAATGTTCCCTTACTGGAAGAGAATTCTCTGTAGAAATCTGCAGGCTGCTGTTGAGTCAGGCTGGCAGTAGCATTTCCTTAGGAAGTGTAATTTTGGTGTCTTGTATGACTGTTTTGTTACTATAAAAGTATCTCTGCAAACATCCTAGTTCCTGACCTTTTGAGACCATGCTTACCTTCATCCTCTTTCCCCCTTCACTTCCCTTTTCCAAAGTAGTTTCCAGTCTGGGGATCTCTAGAGCAAAGTGTATGAGTCTCTAAAACTGCAACGAACAAGCCAGTCTCTCAAACAGTTGTAACAGCCCCACATCCTCTGCAGGTCAAGCACACAGTAGGTTTTGTGCATACTCACCACCGGGTTACATTTTAGAATGACATTACCCTGGGCTACACTATGCCACTCCAACAAAGACTATGCAGAACCCAGAAAAATATCCAAAAATATGTTTGAGCACTTGGAATCACTGAACTCTGGAACTGGGGCTGTTTCAGGTCTCTGTGGCCCAATCCAGTATGAGGAGGAAAGGAGAATGGGAAAGAGGAGGCTTCCCCTCTCCCCCTCCCCATGAAGAAAGTACTGCACGTGTAACTGTGTAGTAGTTCAGTGGTTCTCAACCTTTCTAGACTGAAGACAGCACTGCATAGTTTTGAAATGGGGTGCTGCTCAATTCACAAAAGTTAGTTTATTTATTATAGTGCATGCCTGCTTGAAGAGGGACTGGGAAGGAGGAGGAGCAGCCAGCAGGGAAGAGCCTGCACTTATCTCCACACCAGAGCCTACTCTAAACTCACTTATCTCCTCCCCCAAGGGGCACACTTCAAATGCTGTCCATGGCACCCATGGTAAGAATCACTTCAGTAGCTGACTGATGATGATTTTTGTCATGATATTACATGATGTAAACACTAATTTACATCAATGCACCTCTCTCTATAGCCCTGCTTTTCCTGCCATTCCAATATTGTTCACTGCCTGTTGTCTAAATCCTAAACTGTAATATTTATGGGCCAGGAATGGTTTCTTTGGTGTCCAGAGAATGCCCTCTACAATGGAGCCCTGCCCGTGGATAGACGTCATTAGGTGCTATCAGAATTGCATATAAAAAAAATCAGCATTTTTTCAAGTTCAGTTGTCACCACTCTTCCAGCTGAACAACATTGAAAAGGCCACTACAGTAGTTATTTCACAGTGGGGTAGCCTGCCTTCAAAGTAGGGGCTTGAGCATGTTCAGCAGTTCCATACTTGAGGGTGACTGAATCTTGCTGGTACTAAAGAATCCTGATAACCATTGCTGCAGCTGTGTGTTACCACTGGCTGGTGCTGGAATCCTTGCACTAAACTTCACATTGCTGTAGTGCACTCACCACATTCAGTCTACATCCTTGAGGGAACTTGAGTATTTCTGTCCCTGGTACACCTGGCACTGGTCTGTATTGTTGTTCTGGTTTCTTTCCTTCCTACAAAGTTTGCAAAATCTCTCTTCCTTCCCTGGCCTGTGTCAGTTTCTTCCTTCTCTTTTCAATTGGCCACTTTTCCCTTTGGTTTACAAAATCTTCTAGTAGCGGTGATGGACTGTTTCTGCTCTGCTTTAAGCGTTTCATTGGAACCTAACACTTCCAGCATCACAATGCATACATGAGACGATATGTTGAAGAAAATACATAGTCTTGGCTCTTCTGTTGAATATTGACAAGTTACAGCAAAGCCTGCCTAGAATAGGATTGTGAGGGCTCTCCTATAGTCTCAGGCTGTAATTTTTTCTTTTTTTATAGAACCATTCCAACTGGCCCTTGCAGCTGGATTGTCCCACGACCACATGGTATATTACACCCAGTAACTGTTAGGTGTAGTGGCAGTAGAAGTCACGAGTTTGCAATCAGACGTCCCTTTCAGGGTTTTCCCAAGCAGGTGTGGGGGAGACTGCTCATCCATGTGGGCACCAGTGACACTGCCAGGGGAGACTCTGAGTGGATCAAAAGTGAGTGCAGGGCTCTGGGTGCAAGGGTGAAGGGGCCTGGGGCTCAGATCGTGTTCTGTTCTCTTCAATCTTTCCAGTCAAGGGAAAGGGCCTGGGCACGAGTGGGTGCATCCTACAGATCAATACCTTGCTGCACAGGTGGTGTTGCCAGCAGGGCTTTCACTTCTTCAAACATGGGATGTTGTTCCAAGGGGAAGGATTGCTGGGAAGAGATGGGATCCACCTCACGAAGAGAGGGAAGAGCATCTTTCCACACAGGCTCGCTAACCTGGTGAGGAGGGCTTTAAATTAGGTTTGCTGGGGGACGGAGACCAAAGCCCTAAGGTAAGTGGAGGAGCAGGAGACCTGGAGGAAAAGCAAGCAAGAGGGGGCAGCAGGGGAGGTGCGCTCATACTTCCTGAGAAATCAGGGCAATCAACTAGTTACCTCAGGTGCCTGAACATGAATGCACAGAGCATGGGAAATAAGAATTGGAAGTCTTGCACAGTCATGGCACTATGATGTGATTGGAATAACAAACACCTGGTAGGATAGCTTGCATGACTGAAGCACTCCCATGGATGGGTACAAACTGTTGAGAAAGAACAGGCAGGGAAGAAGAGGAGGAGGCCTAGTCACATTTTATGTAAAAGAGCCATATGATTGTTAAGAGCTCCATTATGAAACTGGAGATAGGCTTGTCAAAATTCTCTGAGTAAGGGTCAGAGGGGAGAACAACAAGGGTGCTGTCATGGTGAGGGGTCTGCTATAGACCACCAGACCAGGAGGAAGTGGTGAATGAGGCTTTCTTCAAACAGCTAGCAAAAGATTCCTGATTACAAGCTTTGATTCTCATGGTGGACTTCAATCACCCTGATATCTGCTATGAGGGCAATACAGCAGTGTGCAGACAATCCAGGAAGTTTTTGGAGAATGTTGGGGACAACTTTTTGGTACAAGTGCTGGATCAGCCAACTAGGGCCCATGGTCTTTTTGACCTGCTGCTCACAAACAGGGAAGAATTGATGGGAAATGTAGAAGTGGATGGCAACTTGGGCAGCAGTGACCATGAGATGACTGAGTTCAGGATCCTGAGGAAAGGCAGGATGGGGAACAGCAGAGTAAGGACCCTGGACTTCAGAAAAGCAGACTTTGACTCACTCAGGGAACTCATGGGCAGAATCCCCTGGGAAGCTAGTTGGAGGGGGAGATGAGTCCAGGAGAGCTGGCTGGAGTAAGAAGCCTTACTGAAAGTGCAGAAACAAACCATCCCAATGTGCAGGAAAACTAGCAAGTAAACTAAATCACAAAAAGGAAGCTTATAAGAAGTGGAAACTTGGACAAATAACTAGGGCCAGGTATAAGAGCATTGCTTGGACATGCAGGGATGAAGTCAGCAAGGCCAAAGCACAGTTGGAGTTGCAGCTAGGAAGGATTGTGAAGGGTAACAAGAAGGTTTCTACAAGTATATCAGTAACAAGAGGAGGATCAGGGAAAGTGTGGATCCCTTACTGAATGGGCAAGGCAACCTAGTGACAGAGGAAGCAGGCAAGGCTGAAGTGCTCAATGCCTTTTTCACCTCAGTATTTACAAGCAAGTTCAGCTCCCAGACTACATCACTGGGCAACAAAGTTTGGGTAGGAGGAGAGCAGCCAACAGAAGCAAAAGGACAGGTTGTGGACTATTTAGAGAAGCTGGACATATACAAGTCCATGGGGCTGGATGGAATGCACTGTAGGGTGCTGAGGGCATTGGCTGATGAGATTTCAGAGCCACTGGCCA